TTTAGCAGTTGAACGGCTAGAAGGTCGGAGACCCCTCTTCCCTTTAAAAAAAACAACTTATCATAAGGGTCTCAAAATCTTCCAAATTTTACCGTTAGGTTTTGCTAAAATAAAATAGCAAAAGGGCATAACATTTGCTGCTCCCCACAACACCCCACCCCCTCTAATATAAGGGGTATAAGTAGCCTACAATCGGAACTGGGTTTTAAGCTTTGTTTTCAATTTTACTCTTCTCTCGTGAATCGCTCTTTACGTACTTACTTAAGTATAGTTCATTTTTATTTGATGCGTTTCATTAAACAAAAAAAGTAAAATAGGACTGTACGGGAAACCAAAGTCGGTTCTCCGCTCTCTCTGCCCGTAACATTATCGACTCGGCCAAGCGAGTTCTTAGATGTTACAAGAATTAATTTTATTTAAATTTATATTTGTATATATTTGATAATTTTTTTTTATATTTGGATCCTTTGCCGCTAACAAAGGGCTTTGGGGTCGTATAAATACTTTATACATTTTTCACCTACCGCCTATTTATAAACTCACCCATGCTGAACCTTTACTAAAAACCCTAAATGCACTGAATGTTTACCAAATCAACATCTATCAAAATATTCTTTTCATGCTTAAATACAACCTTGGACTAGTCCCATCGCATTTTTTAGATAACTTTTTTTAAATTAACTCTAATAGATATACCACAAGAGCAACAGGGAACTTCACATTACCAAAAAAAAAAACAAAGTTCTCACGACTCTCTATTTCCTACCGGGGTCCGTACCTATATAACAAAATAATATCCGAAAATATAGAACTTAAAGCATTAAATAATTCTGCCACCTTGAAAAAAAAATTAAAACACCTCATACTTAATATCAAAAATTTTATTGACATGTATTAAACTTAACAACAAGATTTATACTAAAATGTTTATGTGTATCACTGACTGTGTATTGTTTAACCACTTTTAACTATATATAAAAATTAATTAAATTTATTTAACCATTTGAAAAGGTACTTGATGATAAGACTTCATAGTCTTCTGCGAGTCTCCTTTACAACAATATGTTTATATTTGAAGAAACAATAGTTTTTATTTAAAAAAAAAAACAGTGTTTATTAATCTAACGTTATAATTTATTATAATTGTTAAATTACGTATTCTTATGTTATGTTATATATTTTACTCTTTGCATTAAATTATATGATAGAATTGTAACGTAATGAAGTGTATATTGAAGTTGTAAAAAAAAAAAAAAAAAAAAAAAAAAAAAAAAAAAAAAAAAAATTATTTTTTTAATATAAAAATTTATTGAAATAAAAAAATATTGTTTTAAAACAATATCAATATCTGAAAAAAAAGTGTGTTGTAATGACCCACTACAACAACAATAAATATTGTATTGTAATTCGTCTTTATAATACAATAACAATAAATTGTTATTGTAATAAAAAAAATTATTTTAGAGTCAAAATTTAATAAATGTTTTAACAGTCCAGTCTCTGAGATAAGTAACTTTAAAATAGGGTACAAATAATATATAAGTATTGATTCTGTTTCTTTTTTATTTTATAAACTTTAATGCTCTATAAAAGTGAGTTTAATCGGGCCTGTATTTCTTTTACTGCTGGGGATAAACATGATCAATCACTATCATTTCTTTCACTTAGTTATTTGCTTTTACATTAGACACCTACCCAATTGTTTCGAAACTTACTCAACTCACACTTACTCTAATATAACTTTGTCTTTTGTTTCCCTTCGGCTTTATGGCTGTATGTGTTTTATAAAGTAACTGGACATCTAGTTGTAAAGTTATAAAAGAGTTTTGTTACATAAATCAAGAACCAATATTTATTTGGTGTTCTAAACTGCCTCATTTTTCAAAAATGATCCACACAAAATTTATTAACACGGTATGATAGGTGATGAACAATCTGAAAATGTAGAAAATTTTTTAACAAAACAAAAGTAGTTCACATTTTCAGACAATCTAATCGATAATTACTCAGGTTAATGGTTCTTTGATTCCATAACGATGTAATTGATTACGCATTAGCGGTTAGATATATTGAAAAAAAAAGCACTTAATGTAGTTAATCAATTAGTTTAGACGTCATCATCCGGTGAAACATGTCAATATCAGTTTAGACAAAATTATAAAAAAATATAAAAGTTTACTTCTTAAAGTAAATAATTACTTAATTACAAGCATATGATAAATCATATATTTGTATGATTTTGAATGAATATTATTAATGTTAATTCTAAAAAAATTATTATTGAAACAGTTATACTATTGAACTCAAAATAATTAAAATTTAGATATGTAAATGGTTGCTAGAAACCTAATATTTATTAAGTATACGTAGTATATATACTTCTTTGGCTTCCCTGGCTTCACTTCACTTCTCAAAATAAATAAAATTTATATATATAAATGACTGCTGAAAACGAGCGTCACGGGCACCCCTAAATTATCTAGTGCACAAATAATAATAAATGCGTGAAAAAAGAGTCTAAATACTATAAAATACAATAGCTATTAGTCTTTGAAATAGTAATATAATACATCAATGTACTTATTGTAATTGTATTACATCACAGCAAAACAATACAATAATTTTAGAGCTTCAATGTATTGTATTGAGTGTATGTATTAGAGCTTCAATGTATTAGAGCTTCAATGTATTGTTAGAAAAAAAATAACAATACAATAGTTTTTGTAACTGTTTTTATTCACAGCAATACAATAACCATAAATAATGTTTTAATTGCATCTCTGGTATTACAATACAATATTATTGTATTGTATTTGTTATTGTATTTAATTTTTACAGTAACAATAACAATAGTTCTAACCCTAAGTGCAATTACCTACAAAACTCTAAATTTTTATAAAAATTAATGCTTTTTAGTTAATCAGAAGTAGCTCATCTGTTTTCAAATGTCAAATTTGATACGTGAGCGCTTTTTAATAAGAACTTATTATTAATATAACTTAGACGTCAAAAATCATATTTTATAAAAGTGATGTTTAGTTTGCAAAAATGAATACTGCAAAGTGAAACAAATTTTCTAGTTGTTATAGGTAAAACTGTAGATCATATATAGATCGAACTATAGATTATTTGTGGTCTCTATTCCGTACGCTTAGTTTTCACTATTATTTTAAGTATTTAAGTTTCTCATTTTTGTCGGAAATTTTGTCTCACTTACAATTTTGTTTTGATATTTTCCGTGATTAACTTTTTTTTCCATGAAAAGATTCGGCTTGAGTTTATAGATCATATAATGAAAAGGTTTTATTTATTTAAAAACTTTTTCGAGTTTTTAGGTTTCATTTAATTTTAAAAATTTCTTAGGCTTGGCGATAGTATCGTTATTTTGACGCAAAATCAAGTTAAAATATTCTCAAGTTATTAATAGTTAACATCTGATCTCTTTTGTTTTGCTTTTGTTATTTGTAACAATGAATAGCGCGGATATCTTGGCTTTAAAACAATACGTTAAACGTCCGTCTATTAATACGTCCATTATACGTCCATTAATACGTCCATTAATACGTCCATTAATACGTCCATATAATACATTATACGTCCATTAATACGTCCATTAATACGTTAAAGTAACTAAATATTTTGTGAATTTCACAAAACATTTTTCGCAGCTTTTTTTAATTCAATTTTGAATTTTTAATTCAATGAGCCTATTTAATTTCAATAATAACACTTCAATAATAAAAACATTTGAAATTTTTTTAACGAGTTTACAAACAATTAGTGGATTTCACACAAGAATTTAAGGTATTTATAGACATGATGTAATATCTTCTACTGAAAACACGAGTTCAACAAACCGGGAGGCTGACAAAGTGCGAATTGGCATAAGTGAGCAAATAAAATTACAAACATTAGCTTAAGTGCGAATTGGCATTTTTTTTTTTTTTTAGGTGTCCCAGGAAGTCCTTTCGGTCTTATCACAGAGCACCGCGGAAGAGCATTTAATAGGATCTCGCTTCCTTCCTAACCGTTGTCGCAAAACATGCCCAGAGGTGGGGTCTGAACCACGGATCTTACGTTTATGAGACAAGTGCGCCATGGCTGCTTTTACAATTTTGGAATTACAAACATTGTGTTAAGTGCGAATTGGCATAAGTTCTCTTATTCTGAACTTTAAGAAACTTTGGTTCATGACAACCTGCGTCTGTTTCATATTGCTCTTTATGTTTTTTTAACACTTGTGATTACGAATTGTCCTGCGGAGTGCTCATTTTCAAAAATAAAACGAATTAAAAATGAGCAAAGAACTACCATGCTTCCCCAGTGAAAAAGCGCACACGGGATACGCGTGGGTTTTTTATTCCATATGTAACCCATGTGGGGATTATTATTTTGTCCCATGTGGGTTCCATATGGTAAGTCCCACATGGGTTCTATATGGTAATTACCACATGGGATACGCGTGTGCTTTTTTCATATGTAACCCATGTGAGGATTATTATTTAGTCCAATGTGTTTTGTTTTTTTGTTGTAATTTTTACATTCATGTTTTCACATTTGTGTGGTTTGGATTGCTCTCGATAGCAACATATAAATGTCGTTATGAAAGAGTTAAAGCAATCTTTTACAACCACACGCCCTTCCTGACATTAACATGCAGCAAGTTGTACTAGATTACATGTTATCAGTAGCAGAATAACTTGACCCGACGGTCAGCGAATCTGGGTTATATATGGTAAATCCCACACAGGCTATAGGTTGAAAATACCACCTGTTTTATAGATCTTAAATGCCACATATTCTAATTCAAATGCTATAAAAGTAGCGAATACCATATAAATGAAACATCAAAATTAATCATGAAAGCTTTCAGAGATGCTTAAATTTATCTGGTATTAGCTACTTTATGCTATTTAGGATCAAATATATGCGATGTTCTCCACAAATGTGGGATTTACCAAAAAGTATTATAACAAAATTGTACAAAATTATAAAACCTGTTGCAAAATGAATTTATATTTAAATAATAGCTATTAATAAATACATTAAAAATAAATGTGAAAAATATTATTTGGTCTTTTGTGATTTACACGCCTTTTGTCGATTCAATTAATAAAGTAAATCGCCTTGGCTCGCTCAATGCTAAGGTTTTTACCATATTAAGAAAAACTACTTTCTTCAAGCATTTCCTAATATATATATATATATATATATATATATATATATATATATATATATATATATATATATATATATATATATATATATATATATATATATATATATATATATATATATATATATATATTCATCTACAAATATAACTATAAATAAATTTTAATAAAAACAAATATCAATAATAACCCGAATCAACCTAAATATATTATATGGTTATTATAGATTAAAATAATAAGAAGAACAATCGTAATTAAAAGCCTTATTAGTTAAGAGCAGTTTTAATTAAAAGCCAAACTGAAGTCATTAATGACTTCAACTTGGACTTTATTTCACACATAATTAATTCTTAATTTATTACTTACGATGACTAATGTATTATGGATAATTTGACAAGAGCTTGTATCCGTTTATAAGAATCT